CAGGAACTATACTCATACAAACGCAGAAACACACACACAAGAATATATAAAAGCATATATATATGGGATTACAACCATACAGTGAATTTATAATATATTTCATATTAAATGGGATTGTATCTAGGATCCTATATGAGATTGTATTATATATGTATCAGTATTACAACCTACAATAATTTTATAATATTTCACATAGTAACTTTATAACCTATTTCAAAGCTTCTGTAATGATAAATTTTGCCCCAACTCTTCTGAAAGTCCCTATGAAAGACCTAATACAATGATTATTTTCATTTATTTATTATTATTATTATTATTTTGCTTTTTGGGTCATACCTGGCATTGCTCAGGGATTACTCCTGGCTCTGCACTCAGGAATCACTCCTGGCGGTGCTCAGGGGACCATATGGGACACTGGGAATGGAACCCGGGTTGGCCGTGTGCAAGGCAAATGCCCTACCCAATGTGTTATTTCTCCAGCCCCAATAATTATTTTTAGATGGTTCTGGAAATTGAACCTCATGCATGGAAAGCAAGAGCTCTACCACTGAGTTTAATCCATAGCTCTAATATTCTCATTATCCCTAAAACTTAAGAGTCTGGGGCATATTTCTGTCAAATAAACTTAATTATAGCAAATTTTATATGCCCTGCAGGCAAATTAGATTTTTGGGAAATTATAAGTCATATTAAGAACATCTGGCATACAGACCACTGTCACTATCACTGTCCTCCCATTGTTCATCGATTTGCTTGAGCGGGCCCAGTAACGTCTCCATTGTGACACTTGTTACTGTGTTTGGCATATCGAATACGTCACGGGTAGCTTGTCAGGCTTTGCTGTGCAGGCGAGATACTCTCGGTAGCTTGCTGGGCTTTGCAAGAGGGGCGGAGGAATTGAACTCGGGTCACCCATGTTGGCCGCTTGCAAGGCAAATGCCCTACCTGCTGTGCTATCACTTCAGTCCAGCATACAGATCAAACTAAATAAAACTTCTGGTTTAAAAAATAGGTTTAAACTGTAAGATCACAAGACTAGTTTTCTTTAAAATGATAAAAAAAAAAGAAAAAGGAAGGGGAATTCTGAACATTTTTAATAGAATATGCATTTAATGGGCTTGAGCGATAGCACAGCGGGTAGGGCGTTTGCCTTGCACGCAGCCAACATGGCAGACCCGAGTTCGATTCCTCCATCCCTCTTGGAGAGCCCGGCAAGCTACTGAGAGTATCTTGCCCGCATGGCAGAGGCTGACAAGCTACCCGTGATGTATTCAATATGCCAAACACAGTAACAAGTCTCACGATGGAGATATTACAGGGCCCGCTTGAGCAAATCGATGAATAATGGGAGGACCATGATACCGTGATGCATTTAATATCTTACAGCAAATAAACTGTATTTCTATCCCATGATCTGAATTTTTTTTTTTTTTGGGCTACACCCAGCTGTGCTCAGGGCTTAACCCCGGATCTGTGCTCAGGGATCACTCAGGCAGTGTTCATGAAGCCATGTATAGTGCTGGGGATTGAACCCAGGTAAGTACCTTAGAATCTGTCCCTTTTCTACAGCCCCTCTACCAATTATTTATCTCTGTACTTCCAGCACATAGTCCTACACATAACATACATACATAAATTTCTTACAAAGAGCTTAACTATGGTTTTGATGTCTGGTTTTATTTTAATCAGCTGCTCATAATGTAGTGGTAGTGAGTCTTTACAGTATTATTACCAACCACGCACCATCCTTAGCTTTAAGAAACCCAGCATCTGTCATGACAAGGAAGGCTCAAGCAGAGAGGAAATTCAGTATTATCAACCTCAATTTGTGGAATCATTCTTAACAACTTATTAACATATAATACTGTGTGAATAATACTTATTAACATATAATACTAAGTCCTATTTTAAGTTGAATAAAGCTGTCCCTACCTTCATTATGAGTCAGCCTCCTAAGAGGTGACACACACTTATACAAAACTAAAATACACAACATGTTGCACCACAAAGTACAAAAGAAAATAAAAGAAAAATATCAGGAAATGTAAATCATCAATAGCATCAAACTGATTTTTTTCCAAGAAACTACCTTTCCTTTAAAATATGACTACAAAGTCCAAAGAGGCTCACTATGGAGGTCAGAGCAGGAGCAATAGCACAGCAGGTAGGGGCATTTGCCTTGTATGTGGCCAACCAGGGTTCTATCCCTGGCATCCCACATGGTTCCCTGAGCACCACTAGGAGTGATTCCTCAGTTCAGAGCCAGGAGTAACCCCTGAGCATTTCTAGGTGTGACCCAGAAAGATAACCCCCACCCGAACAAAAAAAAAAAAACAAGATGCTCATAATCATTCAAAGTATATGTGTTCCCACATAAGAAGCTAACAGGGTCAACCGATAACAGCATTTTGATAATATTAATGTTGACATAGCTTAAGACAATACTTAAGACAAAGCCTCTTAAAATATTTACAAAATCAAGTTTCTATTGTGGTAAATATAAAAAGCTAAATATAAGAAGCTAAACATAAGAAGCTATATAAAAATGTAAAAATGCAGATGACCTTGTACAATTGATTAACATAAATACTGAAATTTTTTATTCTTTTGTGTGACTTTTTATATAGTAATAATTAAAACATATGGATCATTTCCATTACTACAAATTGAGCTCTTTTCTAGTATTTATTTTTCCGACTTTCCACCCATCCACAGCCCTGCTCTTTAATTTTTCAAGACAAGGGAGGAAATTCAAACATTATCAACTTTTAAATGAAGAGTTAAAATGAAAGCACCATCAAGTTTTGACACACAAAAATAAACTTTTTTAAAAAGCAGAAGTAACGAAGAGTTAAAATGAGAGCATCCTCAGGTTTCGGCACCAAAATCCATCAATAAATAAAAACTGAACAGAAAATGTAGGAAAATATAGAAAAAGTTCAGGGAGCAATTACCCAAAGAATCAAAGCACAAGAAGAAAGCAAGATGAGAAGGAAGGTGACACCCAGGATGGATAGGTGAGCTATCAGTGAGTTACCCAGGTACAGTTTACCATGGTAGTAAAAGACCTGATGGAGGGTAAGAGGCAGGTGACAGTGAAAAAGAACCAAGTGATGTGGGTAGAGGCCAAGGGTAAAATAGGCAAAAGTGAAAAACAGAATTACAAGAGAGAACAAAAACTAGGAAGGAGGCATACCCACAGAAATGCAGGGCTGAGAGAACAGAGAGTATACACAATGGGAGGCTGAATCAAAGAAAAGGCAGGAAGTGGCAAAACACAAAGACACTAGACAATTCTGAGATGAGAAAAATGTGCTCCATGATAGCAGAAAAGGAAGACATCTGGGGAGATGTGGGAGTATTAGTACTGCAGGTAAGGTGCTTAGACCCACCCGGTTTGGATCCCCTGCACCTGAACTCCACCCGGAATGATCCCAAGTGGAGCTTGGAGTAAGCCCTGAGCACTGTCAGATGTGGCAATCAATCCTGACCCCCAAGGGGAAAAAAAAGGAAATAGGGAGAAAAGGATGAAGCAAACCATGCCTAGTGGGGATGAAGATATTAAAAAATAAATTACTTCTGAAATTTTACTCTCCTCAATTTAAAAAAAAATTTTTTTTAATACTGTCAGGTAAAATTTGCCTCATAAAAACCAGAGTTTCTCAATTCACAGAGAAGAAAATTATTGCTATCAACTGACTTAGTCATACATGAAAGAACAGAAAATTTGTCAGTAATTCTACATGTTGTCAGGACGAAAATTAGTTGTGAACACGAGCTAAGAGAATTACTGACCGATTAACTAGTTGGGGAAGAGAGCATAGAGAAGTGGTTACAGATAAATGAAGGAATGGGGGTGACTCGGGAGCACTGTGATGGGTGAGACCTGATAAGCCTAAATTCCTTGTGGCAAGGGAGAAAGGACAAAGCAATGTCATCCTACACGGAATGACCAACCATCTGAAGAAAAGATTTCTGTGTGCAGCTGTTTCTATGTGCTCATCAGAATTTGGAGAAATCCCTGCTTATTACTACTGCCTCTCCCTCAAAAGGAAAGGGTAGTGTAAGATGATAAAACTTTCATCAGTGCTACTATAAACCTCACGGAGGTTAAAAAAAATAAGGATTACAACCATCCATGTTATCCTGGTCTCCTAGATAAATGAAAACAGACCAAAGAAATCATTCATCATTTCCATCTAGAAACAGCAGAGAAAAACAAAACACTGAACAAGAACTTAGTAAAGAAGAGCAACTCTGAAAAAGAATTACTCTATTCTTGATCCCAGAAAAAAAATCTAGAGTAGGAGAGCAAACACAAATATATTTATGAGCCTTTAGAAACTGAAAGAAAGGGTTATATCTCTCTGAATAGATAGCTCACTGACCTAGCATGTGTTTCGCTTACTTGGGATTCCTTCTTTCATTTTATCTTCAGTGCCAAAAAATTATGCGAGAAAAAGCACAGAAATATACAAAGACTGGGAGCAAAATAAGGAAGATGAAACCACTGAAGTCAAGAACGTGTGAACAAGCAGCAGCATGCCACTACAAAGAGGCGATAGAGCAACATCACTAGTTACCAGCCTGAGAACCCCAATTTCCAGGGCCAGCCATGCTCGCTTCACCTACTCTCGCTACGATTTCTCTACTTGGACACAATAAATCTCTAGTCGTAGATTATCAGCTGTGATAGAAGAAAACAACTCAAATATTATACACACAAACAGATGGATTAACAGCAAATGTAAGAAACACGGAAAGAAACATGCTAAGTCTTGTCACGCAGATTTTCAGAACTATCTTCCTCTGCAGCTCGAATATCATAAATACTAGGATTACTTCTTGAAATTTGCCTTTTCTTCTGTTTACTGTTCTTCATGAATATCTTAAAGAGTCACTTGGTCATCAATCCATTCAGAAGCATCTGACTCAAGACAATTTATGGCTGGAAATGGTGCTGCTCCACAGGCTTTAGGAGACTTCTTGAAGGAACAAACCTGGTTATTTGGTCTCTTCTGAGCACACAAAGAAAGGAGGATTTGCTCTCAGACTCAAAGATAGCCTAGAAGTCGGAGTGTGCTGTTTCCAAGATAAGATCCCCTGAAAAAAAATAAAGTTAAAATCAACCAGGTTAAAAAAATAATAAATGAAAACAAAAACCTCTAATGAAGCAGTGCAAGCATTCACAGTATTACATTTTAACTAACACTAAAATATAGTTTAAATAAATATTAAAAGTAGCACATGCTTCACAAGACAGACTCTGGCTTTAGTCCCTGGCACCAGAACTGAAGTAATTCAAATTAATATTTAAACATCAGCTTTAAAATACTATAGTTTAAAAACAATTAAAAGGCACCACAAAGTATATAACCATGTATTTAAAAATGTGGTAATTCTCAAATTCTCAAAATTAATTTAAAATACCACTTAAAATTACAAGAAAATTATGGGGCTTAATAGTCCAATCTCCATCATGGCCAGAATTTAAAGTAGCACTGAGAAAACACAATTTTCTACATCGAGGTCTTGGAAATGGTATGAACAAGCTCACTCATCTATAAAATGAGCTCCAGAATTGATGATGTGTAAAATTTCTTCCAGTCATAAAATTCTAAAATTTACATATTATCTGGTAGTAAGAGCTAGGTTTCACTAAAACAGCTGTAGGCAAGTTATATGCTTTTGACTTTGTCCTGATTTCCTAATCTATAGAATACAGGGCTAGTTCTTCTTCTTCTTCTTCTTCTTTTCTTTTTTTTGGCTTTTTGGGTCACATCCAGCAATGCACAGGGGTTACTCCTGGCTCTGCACTCAGGAATTACCCCTGGCGGTGCTCAGGGGACCATATGGGATGATGGGAATCGAACCTGGGTCAGCCGCATGTAAGGCAAACGCCCTACCTGCTGTGCTATATATTGCTCCAGCCCCAGGGCTAGTTCTTCTTAGGGGATGGTGGGCTCTTGAATTACAAGAAGATGGCTTAAAGTATAGATACCCAGAACTAAGGAATGCCATTCTTTCAATTAATGTAAGATACCTCTTGCTTTTTTGAATAAAGTAGGGGTCAGTAATGTTGTCTTATATGTGCAAAGCTGAATTTGTCTTGACAGCACACAGTCCTTCAACTAACAATGGTCATGGTGCAGGGTCTCCAGAATAGTAATGGTTTATAGTATCTACAATATTATATTAAGCTTTTTTTTTCTTTTTTTTTATGACATCTTATTGTCTCTTTCCTACTTTGGACAAACTTGCAGGCTATCGAATGTAGCCTGCCCACAGGGCAGAGTCTGGCAAACTCCCCGTGGCGTACCAAATATGCCAAATACCAGTAACAATGATGGGTCTCATTCTCCTAAAGAGCCTTGAATATAATCTCAGGACTAGGATGAAAGAGACGTTACTGGGGCCTGCTCGAGGCAATCGACGAATAACAGGATGATGAAATGAAATGAATGAAGCTTTGGGTCATTCTGAAATACATTCCTGAAAGAACCAGCATACTAGAGAAATGAGGATACCAAGAAAGAAGGGAAATAAGTGGGGAGGAATGAGGAGATGGACTGGCAATACAATAAAAGCATGGGGGGTGGGGGGCTGGAGAGATAGAACAGTAGGTAGGGCATCTGCCTCATATTCGACCTACCCTGAGTTTGATCCCATATGGTCACCAATCACTGAGCACCACCACGAGGAGTAATTACTAATTCCTGAGTGCAGAGCCAGGAGTAACCCCTGAGCATCACCAGACGCCCCCACCCCCTTCTTCATAAAACTTCCAAAACCCAAAATACAAAAAGGGAATTTTTGATCAAGGGTCTTGGACATGTTAGTGCTACAGAGGTAAAGTAACTGACACATCAAAACCATTAAAATGTGCAAGCATGTGACCCAAACTATAACAAGTCAATTTAAAAAAAAAGAGAGAGAGATTTTGTTAAGGAGGCAAGGAGGGGAGAGGAAGAGAATCTCAGGTCACTGGTGGAGGGATGCTGACATTAATGGTGGGCATAATTTCACTATGTCTACTTATCAAGCACTCCCCCTCCCTCCCCACTCCCAAGACAAATGCCAAGACCTCTGACCCAGCAAAAACAATGAGTAACCAAAAGACTATACCTGCTGAGGGTGTGTCCTCCCCGCTGCTAACCAGGTTTGTGCCAAACGTCAGACAGGATTCCCGGACAGTGGAGTGGTGATGTATGTATTCCCCTATCTGCGAAGTTACTCTGATTCAGTAATTCTGTGGTTGCCCAAGGCCCCCCAAATAATACTGTCAGCTAACTGGGCCTTTTGTTTTTCTTCAGTTTGCTGGAGTTTGTAGGCCCTCATCTAATTCCACACAGCTTCAAGGAGAGTTCATCAGTCCATGTATGCCAACAAATCAAAGGAACCATTTTACATTTTTCTGTCCACCAAAGAAGGATTACTTGCATTGAAGAAGCCTTTCTATCGCTCAAAACAAGTTGGAAGGACGGTCCGGATTCCACTTAAGGACAGAACAAACAGCAGTGTAGCAGAAATCTTTAGTGACCTACTTTCCGGCAAACTACAACTACAAGGGGTTTTAATCTATAAGTGTTTAGAAAAGAAAAGCAGTAAGATTCAAGTGTCATTCAATAGTATTCTGTTTGGCACTAACATTTTTACAGTGAATTAGTAACAGTCATTGACCCATGTCCTGGTGAATCACTATCCAAGAATTCAATACTTACAAAAATAAAATCCTCACTCAGATTTGAAATTCAAAGTTCAGTTTCTTGACCTTTACCTTTTGTCATTTAAAAAGTGTCTCTGATAGTGAAAAGGTGAATGCAAGTGTAGTGCAAGGAGTCCCAGGTTCGACTCTGAGGACCATATGGGTCCCCCAACCAACACTCTGGGAGTTGTTCCTAAACCAAAAATAAATAAATAAATAAATATAAACCACTTCTATCTGAAAAATCCATAAATGTTTCTGCAGCTCAGAGTCAGTGAAACCTCTTATGCTACTTTGAGATTTTAAAGATTTGTAAATTGAGAAAATTACAGTTAAATTTCACTTGTATCCTCCCTGTGTGCCCCCCATTCCTTTTGTGTGGGTCAGAAATTGAATCCAGGACTTCATCCATATAAAGCATACTGTCTACCATACAGCGACACCCAGGTCCCTTTAGCTCTCTCTCCTGTCTTCCCTAGTGAAACCACACTGGAATGTAGATTGCTTGATTTCATATCAAATCATCCTACTTATAACTTAAATGGTGATCTGCGACAAATAAATTGTCTTTCTGTGCCTCAGTTTCCTCATTTAAAAATAGGATTACAACTGTACCTACTTCAAAGCATTGCTGTGAAATTAACAGGTCTGGCACTGCACATGCTATTTTTATTTACTTTATTTAGCTCCAAACTCTCCAGTTTATTCATATGTACATAATGCAAATCCGGGTCAAATACTGTCTACTTGAGAATGGGACTGCATATTAAATAATTCTGATGCTTTCATCAGGTAAGTACCAAATTACTCTGTTTATTATTATAATGGATGAGCAAAGAAGTTATCACAAGTTGTACTGTATAAATCTCATATTCCCTGCCCTCAAGTAATCTATATTTTGGTTGGGGAACCAAAACACAGGAAACTCTTTCATAATGATATAATGCCATAAAAAATCAAATGACAAAGTGTGCTATGAACAGGTACCATTTAAATGGCTACAGATTCTGTGGATGGAGCAGTACTGTCCCTAAAGTTAAGTGGAATTGTTACTAGTGGAAAAAGACAAGAGGATTCCAATGTATTTTTGTTCATTCCACAAATATTTACTGAGCACCTCCCATATGCCAGGCTCTGTTCTAGGCTTAGTGAAACAAAAAAGGTCCCTTTACCCCAGGAGCTTAAAGTATTCTGCATGGGACAGCCAAGCGTTTAAGTAAGAACAAGCAATGCTTGTCTTCTTACTCAGTGAAACAAACGTCACTTAAATGCCTTAGGAAAGGGAGTCAATTGCTGGCATTATATTATGGGCACTTTGGTTTTCACCACAGTGACAAACACAACAGAAATGACAAGTCATAAAAAATTCAGTAACTTTTCATTTGCTACATTCTAAAAACATTTCACTGCTTACAAAACACATGAAAATAATATTCTCTGAATTTCCTGATATACATAAATGTCAATACAAGAAATGTACAAATATGCAAAGGTCATTTCCCTAGAACACTTTTCATAATAGACTTGTGGAGACTTACACCCTAAAGTTTACCCAGTAAGCATATTAATGCTTTGCTTTATACTCATGTGCCACCCCCACCTTCTTCACTTCATCCACTTCCCCATGAAGGTGGCTGCCTTTTAGTAACATGTATCTCCTAGAAAAGTGCCTGAAGATACATGGGGCAAGAATCATCACCAGTTCTTGGGAGTGTTTATTCCAAAAGCAAACACATACATCCTTTGCTTCTCATATCCTTCTTTAATGACAATTCACCACTTCTTCCCCAAAAGAAGTATCAAAGAAGCCCTCCAAAATATATTGACTGGCAAATAAGTCTGTCTTTTTCTGTCCAAGGACCCCACTAGAATCAGAAGACTAGTCCAGTATGCTCCAACCACAAATAAGCCATAGAGCCAAGCACCTCCCTCATCCTCTCTAGTCCATTCAACTTTCAGAGATGCACAGCGTCACTCACCATGAGTCTGATGAAAGCACTAAAGTTAATCTTTGGGATCAAAATAAACTTACTGATTAAGGAAGTCAAAAGAAACTTAAAATTCAACTAAAAACTTCTTAATGTACAAAGTACTAAACTCAAAACATGTTTAAGATATTTAAAAGACTGAAAAAGTAGGCAGACTATCTCCAAAGTGCATACTCAACATCCTTAAGCCCCTGAATGTTAGACTCAGCAACCAAGTAGCAGCCAGTCCACTGGTTTTTATTTCCTTGGTTTGATACAGGAAAGTCAGTTTTCCTCTTTCATGTTTGTTAACCTTTGGTTAAGAATGTCACTTAGAAACCAAATACGTAAAGAGAAGGCCATTCAGAAGGGCCATTAAAGCTTTCCCAACGTTTGCTTTTTCCAGTGTTCTGGTACAGGCTATTTATTGGGTAACATTATGTAATGCGAGTGCGGATAACCTAAGATTTTGGAAACGACAATACTCAACTAATGATAGTTTTACAGATTCTAAAATCCGTATTACAGCTTGAAAGACTCTCTAAGTCGTTTTATGAGCCAACATCCGTATTTTATAAAAATAGAAACAAGCATTTAACGTATATCATCCACATGGGCCACACTCAAATTCATGCATTCAAATGTTTTGAGCAACCAATGCTTACGCAAAGTTATCCGTGAGGATAAAACGGATAAAGCCTGTCAACCAATTAGCACAGACCTCCGAAACAATCACCGCTCAAAATGTCCCTTTATTAACGTTCTTCATTTCCTAACTTTCGAGTCAAACTAAATGGTTCAAGAAATATACTGATATAGAGCAGAAGGATAAAGCTGCTCTGTTATTGTGGTAAGAAACGCTCTTGCTCTAGACCAGAAAAATCCACCAGGCAGCGGAGTAAACTTGAGAAGGGGCAGTGCCAAATGCCAGCTCTTATCGATTCCGAACACCCCCTCTAGGATCCGGGAGAAACCTGAAGGAGCAGCTAGCAGACAAGGGAAGGCTCCGGCACCAGGAGAGGCAGTTTCCCTGCCCCGCTGCCTCAGCCACTGAAATCTCATTCTTTCACTCAGGTGCTGAAGACCTACAGCAATTCACTTCCTGTTTCGTACTACAAATATTTCAAGTCCCCACACAATAAAAAAAAAAATACTAGGAAGGCACTGAAATTGACACTACTTGAGCATCCCGGGTTGGATAGTTTCTGAAATCGCGCACGACCGCGCGGCGGGGGCGTGAGGCGCAGGGAGGCCGGCGGGGGGCGTGAGGCGCGCGGGAGACCGGCGGGGGCGTGAGGCGCGCACGGGGAGGCCGGCGGCGTGAGGCGCGCACGGGAGGCCGGCGGGGGCGTGAGGCGTGCGGGAGGCCGGCGGCCGCGTTTGGCGCGCACGGGGAGGCCGGCGGCGTGAGGCGGGCGGTGGGCTCGGAGCGTGGGGTAGCGTCCGCGCGGGGGCAGCACCCGCGCCGCCCGGCCGCCCACGCGCGCGCCCAGGTGCCGAGCCCCCGACGGCGTCTCCCGATTGCGAGCGAAAGCGCGGGGGGCGGGGAGGGGGGGGCGGGAGGCCCGACCTGGCGCCTGGTTCCATCCGGAAGCCGCCGCGCCGGCAGGAAGTGACGGAGCAGAGGCCGTGGGGGCCGCGGGGCCGCTTCCCGCGCGCCCGGCCCTGCGTCCGGGGAAGAGCCCCGAGCCGAGTCGCCGCCACCGAGCCCGCAGCGTGAGTGACCCGCGGCCGCGCCGCCCCGCGCCTCGCGCCCCGCCGGGCCGCGTCACCGGCCCCGCCTCGGCCCCGCCCCGGCCGCGCGGGGGGAGCGCGGGGGCGACGCGGCGGGGGCCGGGGAGGGGGTGACAGCCTCGCGGGGCCCCGTGCGCTCACCGGCCACCCCCAGCCCCCAGCGCGTCCCATAACGCGACTGCGCAGTGCCCGGCGCTGAGGGGTCCCGAGACGCCGTCAAAGCTGAGAGACCGGCCCCCCGCCAGGGTTCCCGTGAGGAATCCCAGAGGGTCGGTTCTGACGAGACAAGTGACATTAAAGCACGACGATAAGTGACGGCGACGTCAGGGCCAGCTGCGCGGCGCTGAGGAGCCCCGGAGCGGGAGACGCCTTTGAGGACTTAGGGTGCAGCCCCTCGACCCGGAGTGAAATGTCATTCCCAGCCTAAAAGTTGCTGCGCTAACCCGAGCCCTCCTGGTTATATCCTGGCGACTCCTCTCGGGATTCTTAGTTTACCTGGGACCCAATTTAGTTCGTACCAGCATCTCCTCACTGAAAGAGTCCAGCATTGCTTTGCACGAGAAAGCAACTCTTTGCCTGAGGAAAGATTTTGGCGCTCCTAAGCCCCAAGCTCTTGGGTAGCCACTTTGGTTATATTCCCGAAACATGAGCTTGCGGGGAATGAACTGTTCCAGTACCCCTGGGTACTTTACTTTTAGGAAGGTGGTGCTTGGTGTGCAGTACCTGCCAGTGATGGTTGGGTACTGTCGAGCTTAGGCCTTGGTTCTGTACTTTGATTCTAGACAAGAGCGTCCCATATTTCTGGCATTCATACGAAGTCATCCTACTCGTGGTGCTGGACTGAGTAGAAAAGGCCCAAGGTCACTGCTTAGTTTTTCACAATTTCCCAGACTACAATAAGTGCATGTCCCTGGAATAGTAGAACCGTAGTGTCATTGCTCACCAAGAATGAATAAAATTTAAATTTAAATTTCACTCTTCTGGATCAGTAATTGAGAATTCCTTTCTACTAGAATTAAGGACTGGTATATTTGTTGCAGGAGGAAAATAAGCTCTGTGGGAATGGCATATGAACAGGATTTTGTGAATAATTGAAGCAAATTAATGTGGCTCAGGTTGTTGATTCAGAAGTTAGTAAACAAGAAGACATGTTCATAATCGGACAGATAGACACACCTGTACAGTGTTCGCGGTACTGTTGCCTATTTCTTTTGCTATTTATTAGTTCTCAGCATTGAGAGCTACCACTTTTGGTAAGAAATCCTGAAATTTCTGCAGCATCTCCTAACAGATGTCTAAAGCCACCTCTTGCGTATTACAGTAATTGTGGTTATTTTACATCTAGGCCTTAACAAAATTTGAGAAACCATAAATTATAAAGATAATTATGTTCTGGCTCTTCCAAAAGTTCCCATTTCTAAAGTATGTAAGTTACTTATTATGTAAGTCATGTATACATATAATAATACAATATATAATAATATAATAACTACATTCAGAGCTACTCTTGAGTCCAGTTTTGAGAAACAAGAATTGAAATTAAATGATGGCAAATCCACTATGCTGTCCATTCCCCCTCCCCCCTCAATATTCAGGGAATCAAGAGACAGTACAGGGGTTAGGGCACATACTTTACTTACTATCAACTCAACCTAATGCCAGGTACCACAGATCCCCCAAACCTAGGGTGTGGCCCTGGAGGCCTTCAGAGCTCCATAGGCATATGGCTGAGCAGCATCCTGATACTGTCACACTGAACCACAGGCTGAGAATCATCTGGAGAGACCCCCCCAGGTTCGCTCAGCACCATTTGGAGGTCTCCCAAACCCATATTTTTAACATTTAGGAATTGGGTATGGTTGATTGTTAAAATAATATTTAGATCTTGCATTTATAAATGTTTATACGTTTAAAATTCTGTTTTTAATCTCCTATTTGTTTACAATTCCAGTCTTTATGGTCATCAAAAACCAATAGATGTCATAGAAATGACTTTCCTGCAGTATATGACAGCAGGTATCAGAAAGCATGCCATATGGTTTAGGAGCAGACCCCAGAGAAAGTGTGTATTCACTTTATGTCATGGAAACTAAAAGAGGAAAGATTGTCCTCCTTAAACTTAATGACCCAAAATCTACATGCGAGAATATTTTGGAGGCTTATAGGTCAGTTTACAGTATATTTTGGGTAGAAAATTTCTACAATCCCTTCAATGCTATGTGATATGTAAAAGAAATTACAGAACAGTTTTATTAGCTTCCCAGTATTTTTTATCTTTGTAGAAACTTTAGTATATCGCCTATCATTCATCCACTTTTCCACCTTTTTACAGAATTCTAAAAGTTCACTTATGTGTTTCTTTTATATTCTATATCATCTTAGAATTGCCATTTGTGACCAAGACAGGGAGAATTTTGAAGGAAACATTAACTTTTCAAATTCTAAAAAATTAAGAGACCATTACCCTTTTACTTGCTACTTGATGCATTTGTTCTTACCACTCATTTTCTGTGGGAATGTCCAAAGAATGCATTTCCTTGAATAGAAGTCACAGCTGTGTAAATAGCAAAATGTAACTTATCCCATAACTTCTTTCAACCAAATTTGGCCAGCTGGTCAAAACTAGATAAAGCTCTAAACATTTTTCAGTTGCACTGTGAAGCATGTAGATGACTATTGTCATGACTTTTCATCTTTTCTAGCCTGATGTTTATTCTTTGAACATCAAAGCCATTGTTTGGATCTCTGTTTTTAAATTTTCAGTTGCTTTCCATCTGGGTGGTTGGTTATCTCAAGATCAGGCAGTGACAATCCTTTTGGTCATATTTTTTCCATTCCAGGTTTTCACCTTTATGGAAAGGAGTTCTAAATGTTTCAAAGATGACAATAAGGAGAAATACATTGCCTGCTTTAGTTACCTAGACCAGTAGTTGACAAGCTGAAAACATCAGAATGTAAGTAGTTTAGGTTTTTGAGGACTGTGAGACAGAAATCTAGAATATTATGTAGGTGGTTATAACCATTTTAAACTGTATCTATTTTAAAATGTAAGAATATTTTTGGCTCAGAGCAGACTGGATTTGGTCAGTCCTTATATGCATAAAAAAAAAGAAATCCTTTCTTTCTCTTTTAGCCCCATGCCTGGAAGTTACGGCGTGATGGCAGACGATGGCTCTATGGATTATAGTGTGCATGAGGCCTGGAATGAAGCCACCAATGTTTATTTGGTGGTGATCCTTGTTAGCTTTGCTCTCTTCATGTATGCCAAGAGGTAACATTTTTGTTATCACAGGGTTGATAAGAAACTGGGCATTTAAAAGTCTTGCAAAATTTTTTTGTTATATATTGTTGCTGAGTTAAAATGCACAAAAATGATTTCATTAGCATTTTTGTTCTTGCTATAAAATCTGATCTACTAGGGTCTCCAGTCCTGGGCATTAAGGTTCTAACTTTGAAAACTCCTTTGGTTTTGCTTATTTGTTTTGTTTTGAGGCCATACCCAGAGGTGCTAGGGTTGCTCCTGTCAGTGCTGGGGAATATGCAGAGCTGATTTTAAATCAGGGACTTCTGAGTAGTAAGTATGCACTCCAGCCCTTTGAACCATTTCACCAGCCTCCATAATGCCATTGATTTAGAAATGAAGATTTAAGTGCGGATCTGGACACCTAGACTCGGTGCTGGAAATTCTCATTCTGCTGTTAGTATTAGAGTTCAACTTTATCCTCCATTCTGGAATCACTGTTGCCCTTGGATGAGCATCATTTTTGATTTACATCCCTAAAATGTAGAAACAATATTTTCTATATATGTTCAGCAGTTCTCTCTTTGCAGAGTTTAAGTGTTTTTTTCTTTTATTTCTGTGCACAGCTGTCAGAGTATTTACTGAATGAATAATATTGGTGTTACATATAAATGATTACTTATGTGTCATTCCACATTTATATTTCATCCCTTGAGTACACTGACCTTAACCTTTGTATCACTATCACTATCACTATCACTATCGTCCCGTTGTTCATCGATTTGCTCGAGCGGGCCCAGTAACATTGTGAAACTTGTTACTGTGTTTGGCATATTGAGTACTCAAGGGTAGCTTGCCAGGCTTTGCTGTGCAAGCGAGATACTCTCGGTAGCTTGTCAGGCTCTCCAAGGCTGCAGAGGAATCGAACTCGGGTCGGCCGTGTTGGCTGCGTGCAAGGCAAACGCCCTACCCACTGGGCTATTGCTCTAGCCCAATCTTTGTGTCCCTGATGCACAAAGATGTGGGGTCAGTCATCAATAAACTTTATTCTCGATGTCGGAAAATAAGCTGTTCTCCACATTTTCTGGATCCTTTACCTTAAATAAGAGTTTAATATGGGAGAATAAGGGAGGGGAGATTCAGTAGTTCAAAGGGATAGAGTATGTACCTTGTATATATTAGTCTCTGAGCTCCTCCAGGTATAGTGCTGGTGGTCCCTGCAGGGCTTCAGCAACATTGTGTTTCTGGATGTTAAGTGTTTCACTTAAGGGCTGAGTGTCACTAGGAGTGGCTCCTAGCCCCTTGAACACCACCTTGGAGTCCCCCTACCCTATCCCAAGAAGAATGAGAAGAGAGAGATGCGTTAAAGAGGAAAAACAGTGTTAGCTGCTTATGTAACATGCTTCAAGATATCTTCTACCAGGGAAACAAAAAAGTGTTTAATAGTTCAAAATAATTAAAAATCCAAAATAATTGATCTTTGGCCTGGGGAATAGTTTCTGGCCCAGATTTGCCCTCAGGTGTGCAAGCTAGCCCTTCCCACCACAGACCCCCCAGAAGAAAGTAAATGTTAGCTGCCTGGACTCTTGCAGGTAGATGAGGGGACAGTGACCTGCTCAATGTCTATACACATCCATGTATCAATTCTGGCCCATTCATAGCTTTCCCCTCCCAGTAGCCACCTCCTTTGTACTGCACTATTTGAAAATTAGAAGTACTCTGTTCTTAATCAAAGTACATGGTGTTTTGCAGAGAGGGAGAAGAAGCACACAGAAGTTGTACATCACTTTTTGTCGATGTGTTTAGCCACTTCTTTTTTTTTTTAAATTATTATTTTTTTAATGAATCACCTTGGGGAACAGTTATAGACTTACAATCTTTCGTGCTTACATTTCAGTCATACAATGACCAAGTACCCATCCCTTCACCAGCACCCATTCTCCACCACCAATGATCCCAGTAAACCTCTCACCACCCCCATCCCATCCCCCACCCCCACCCCCACCCTACCTCTGTGGTAGGGCATTCCATTTTGCTCTGTCTCCTTATGGGTGTTTTGGTTTGTTATAGATGTTTGTACTCTTTTTTTTTTTCTTATTTTTCATAAGGGCCAAAAGCCAGTGGTGCTGGGTAACCTGAAGCTTCTCCTGGAGTGCTCAGGGGCCCCTTGATCCACACCCAGGAGTTCTTATGGTGCCTAGAATTAAAACCCAGAGACTTGCATGTGCTGTACTACTTGAGGTATCTCGCCAGAGTCTATAGCTGCATGCTCGAGGAAATATTCAAGGAAGAATACTTGAGCCAAGGAAGCATCTCATAGAGCCAGAATAGAAATTTGATTCATTGTCATTTGAATGCTTTTTTTTTGTTTTGTTTTTGGTTTTGGGCCACATCTAGCAGTGCTTAGGGCTTACTCCTGACTCTGTGCTCAGGTATCACTCCTGACAGGCTTGGGGAACCCATATGGGATGTTGGCGATTAAGCCTTTGTTAGCCTCATGCAAGTAAAAACACCCTAGGAGCCGGAGCAATAGCACAGCAGATAGGGCGTTTGCCTTGCATGCTGCTGACTTGGGTTCAATCCCCAGCATCCCATATGGTCCCCCAAGCACCACCAGGAGTAATTCCTGAGTGTAAAGCCAGGAGTAACTCCCGAGCATTGCTGGGTGTGACCCAAAAAGAAAAAAAAAAAAAAGAAAAAACACCCTACCCACTGGAGTACCCACTCTGGCCCCACTTATTTTTTTAAATGTTTTTATTTTAATAAAATTTTTCACAGTGATTTATTACATTCAATATTCCAGCTCCAATCCCACCACCATTACACCTTCCCACCACCATTATTTCCTGTTTTCCCAACCACCACCCAAACCTACCCTAATAGCAGGCTCTAAATGATTTATTGTATATTGCTAACATGTTATTACCAGTTAAGCCTTGAGTGTTAATATTTTCTTAATTGAGATTGGTTGCCTTCTACTTTACATCCCATCCATTGTGGTGTGCTACTCCTGGTATATCAGAGATGCAGAGTAGGAGATATTGCTCCAGGAATTCTAAAATTTTATGGGGTGATACAGCTGGGGTTAAATTTTTAACTGGATGTTTTCTTTGGAGTCTAGAAGAATCTTTGGAGTCTGGAAGAATCTCTGCAGCTTGCTGATCTCTTTCAAGATTATTTGTGAGTCTCTAGATCATGGCCGTTAATGAACTTATATGGCACCAGTTCATGGATGTGATTGCCAGGCTCCCAGAAGAACAGGGGTCTGTGGGAGAGGTCCCCCATCTCCAACTAGTGGGAGCCTGGAGATTTCAGTCACAAAACCTGTATACCTGAATTTTTCAGCAGATTGACTCATGGATGAGGCTCATCCAAGACAGTGGAATCTGGCCTCTGGCTCCATTTTTAATGTAGCTTTGTATTATCTCAGTCATAAAAATATATAGTAATACAAATTTCTCTCTGCATTGGTTTTGTTTTTAGAAATAAAAGAAAAATTATGAGGATATTCAGTGTGCCATCTTCAGCAGAAACCTTGTCAGAGCCTAATTTTTATGACACAATGAGCAAAATTCGCTTAAGACAACAACTAGAGATGTATTCTATTTGTAAGTATATTCTATGTTTAACTGTGTACATAGGATGAGCAAAGTAGTAGGTCCTCATGAATTGAGTACAGTTAGCAAAATAGCGTATAATAAAAGCTTAGTACCCTTTCCATATGCTCAAAACAGTATGAGCAAAAACATTTGGTTAATGCATCAAAACTCATTGTATGTGTTCTTTCTTCGACCTGTAGAGTACCAGCAATGGTTAAATAATCGTATTTTGTATGTTTTACACAAAGTAAATATTTTAACAATCTCTGTTATAGTATCTCCTCCTTTGAGTTTACTTTCTTATAGAATGGCAACAGAGTAGCCAAGGTACTAGAGACCTAAGGACCCCTAGAATGATTCAGGGTGGAAGAAGTTGTGTTGGAGCTAAATTAGGTTTGGTTTATGTTTATGGAGTTTGCGGTCACTTCTATTAGAATTAAATTACTGTAATCCAAAGCTCCATGTCAAATTTATGGGCATGTCACACCAGTGTATCAGTATTACTATTTCCTGCAGTATTAAGTGCTATAAGTAGGTAGTGGAGAACAACCAAAGCTTAAAATGTACAGCACCATTATGCATTATATACAGAAGCTACAGCCTTTTGTACTGCCATTCTGAAGAATAAGGTATGGTTTCCATGGTGTATTAAGAGAAATCACTGTCACTGTCCCCCTGTTTTTCATTGATTTGCTCGAGCGGGCCCAGTAACACTGTGAGAATTGTTACTGTGTTTGGCATATCGAATATATCATGGGTAGCTTGCCAGGCTTTGTGTGGGCGAGATACTCTTGGTAGCTTGCCGGGCTCTCCAAGAGGAGAGGAGGAATCGAATTCAGGTCGGCCATGTCAGCTGCGTGCAAGGCAAACGCCCTACCTGCTGTGCTATTGCTCCAGCTATTTGCTAGGATGCCACTCTTAAAATCAGTTGACCAAACATCCTCCTCCCGACCTTTTTTAAATCTATAATATAAATGTTCTGAGTAATTAAGGGTGTGTGGAGGAAGGCTTAGAAAGAAAAGCACCAGATTATTAACATGAATTACCTTGATGCAACAATGTTCTAAGGGAAAAAGATTAGATATTTCTTTATATTTATAAGAGTGTGTGTTTGTGTGTTATGTAAATACTTATAGAAAGAAACTAGAAAGGGTAATCAGGACTGGAGAGATGTAGAGGGGTGTGATGGCAGATGTGTTGCATGTAGTCAACCTAGATCTGATCCCCAGCATTACATGGTCTCCCGAGCATTTCTGAGTGCATTCCTGGAGGCTCTCAGTGCTTCCAGGATAGTGACCCCAACACTGCAGGGGTCAAGTATCATGACCCTGAAACCCTTGCATTGAACCACTGGATCAACTGATGGAGAATATACACACATATATGTTTTAATCTAAGTAGAGACTGTGAAGCATTCTGCACCAACAGCACTTCCTTTTGGAAAAGGAACTGTGTTAGTACAGCACTGATAAAGTAGGAGGAAATCAAGCTTTTCTTAATCCCCTCTCTTGTTCCTTTTATGTTTTATGGCATTGGCTTTGGCATGGTTTGTGGCATTGGCTTTGACATCAGCATTGACATGATTTACTAGTAAAATTAACATAGCAGCCATGTTCACAAAGGTGGAAACTGCCAAAAGGATACACAAAATGTGGTTGATGAAGGTCGATAAAAGTGTTAGCTTTATAGAGGAAGGGAACTTGACACATACTACTGCATGAATGGACCTTAAAAACACTGCTTGAGAATCATTCTTATAAGAAACTGAAATAAACCAGGCATAAAGAACAAATAAATGTTAGAGCATTTTGCTTCTATGAGACTAAACTCAGAGACAGAAAGTAGAATGAGGTTGCCAGGCTAGGGGTGGAGAGAATAAGGAGTTATTGATTAATGGTGAGAGTTCAGTTTGGGATGAGCAAAAGGTTTCTGTGGGTAGAAGGTGATGATGGTTGTACAAAAATGGAGTATGCCTGATACCAGTTAAATACACTCAAAAATTGTTAAGATAACAAGTTTTAAGTATTCTACAATTTTTTAAATCCCTTATCAAAATTAGGTTTTAAAAAGAAAAATGATTTCAGAAACTCTACATAGAAAATAAAAAGTCATTTTTCATTGAAGTCTAGTCAGAACTGATCAGTCATCTCCTTCTCAATAACATAGTATATGTAATTTAAACCCAGTATATAGTTTTTCTTTATGGTGAAATATATAAAATTTATCAGAATGCCTATGTTACAATGTGCTTTTGGCTTTTTTGGGTTTTTTATTTTGTTTTTGGGCCACACCCAGAGATGCTTAGTGTTCACTCCTAGCTCTGCACTCAGGAATTACTCTTCGCAGTGCTCAGGGACCATATGGGATACTCAGGTAGGTTGCATTCAAGGAAAGAGCCTTACCTGCTGTGCCATCTCTCCGGCCCCAGTGTATATTTGTTTTCTTTTGCTGCGGTACATTGCCACAAAATTAGTGGCCTGAAACAAAATAAATATAACAATATAGTCAAATTTATTTATTTTCTTTTTCTTGGGTGGGGAGTGGTACACACCTAGCTTTTATTCACTGGCACTCTGCTCAGGAATCACTCCTGGTGGAGCTTGGGCGACCTATATAAGATGCTGGGGATTGAATGTGGGTCAGCTACATGTAAGGCAGGCATCTTACCTGCTCTACTATCTCTCTGACCCAGTCATATTTCATGTCCTGTGAACAAAAACGTCATTACTAACTTATGGTAAAAAATGGGAGTTAGAAAAAAAGAAATTAGGAAATCTTAATTTTTCCCGTATATTTTAAGGTCTAGGAAATCCTGTTATTTAACAAAATTAAGGAAATTGGATAAAAATAATTTTTAAAATAGCATTAAATAATGTTAAGAAATAAGAGGATCGTGATGAGAAATGAGATCTAAAAGAGAAATGTTCATTTGAAATGAATTTTTCAATTGAGAATCAAGGCTTAAATATGATTTAATGATGTTAGCTAGTAATTATTTTGCTGTTTTGTTCATTTATCTCTTTCTTTATTTTCAATAGCAAGAAAGCATGACTATCAGCAACCACAAAACCAAGCTGACAGTGTACAACTCTCATTGGAATGAACTCTAAAGAAGCAATATAAGTAACTGTTGTAAAACAATGTAGTACCAAGTTCCTAATTCTTCCTGCTAAATCATGAACAATATATTTTGTTAGTGTTTTGTTGTTTTGTTTATGGGCCACACCTGGCAGTGCTCAGGGGTTACTCCTAGTGGTGCCCAGGAGACCATATGGGATGCCAACTATCAAATTCCAGTTGGCCGCGTGCAAGGCAAGTGTCCTACCCACTGTACTATATCCGCAGCCTCTTTGGACTATATTTTTAAAAAAGACTTGAGCATAGAGTCCATCCATACTTAAGATACAACACAACCAGAGATTTTTATCTAATGAAATCCTTGATTTCTTCAGGATACAATCAACCAGGAATCTTAAACTATATCTTTAGAAGTGAAAATGCATAGCCAGTGATATGAATATTTTTACTAAATTTGAAAATAAAATCTAGTCATTGAAATGCAGTCCTTTTATTTTTTGTTTGTGGGTCATACCTAGCAGTGCTCAGGGCTTTCTCCTGGCTCTGTGCTCAGGGGTCACTCTCATGGTGCTTGAGGGACCATCTGTGCCAGGGATCAAACCCGGTTGCCATGTGCAAAGCAAGCATCTTACCTGCTATACTGTCTCCAGCCCTAATGTCCTTGTAGATTATTTTCTGTCAGAAATGTAGTGTGGATGAGGGGCTACTTTATAATCTTTTTGCTGGCATCACCACTGTTTAATTGCACTAAATAGTGTAGCTTCTTCAGAACTGTACAGTTGACTGTCTTCTGCTCGTGAAGCCATTTTCTAATTACAGAAGCTTTTCCTCACTTAGTTTCTTCTTAATCATCGTCCCATAAATTTGGTTTTTGGTTGTTAACTTTTTAACCCCACAGTTTCTTTTCCTTTAGAAGTGTCGTCTTTGGCTGTGCACAAGCCATGCTGCTGAAAAAGCGACTTTTCTTTATTAGTGTTAGCAACTGGCTTTTCAGACCATCAGTATTTAATATGACTGGTCATTTCTTAGTGTGAGAAGCTTCCCTGCAGACCTGCTATATTTTGTATTATTATGTAGTGTACAGTAAAGTGTTCTGATAGAATTTTTCATATTTTTTCAGTAAAAGCTGGTTGGAGATATGGCAGGAAGTTGAACTATTTGTTTAACTCTCCACAAGTTTGTTTAATTGGAGGTAGTCTTAATTTTAAGAATTAGAGCTATATTTTAAGCATTATTTTCTTTGCCCTTTATAATTGTGAAAACTATAAAGTGAGAGTGGGTGAGTATGGTATTGGGGATCGAATGCAGGATTCACACATGTGGTACATTGCATATGCTTTACTGCTGAGTCACATCCCTGGTCCCAAGAACATAAATTTTAAATGGAGAAGTTCAGAAAAAATAATCATTTTTTGAAATTTTTGAAATTCCACTTTTGTATTATAATCATTCAAGAATGTATATCTTATACAAGGGAGTTTATATTGTACACAAGTACATATTGTGCAACAGAAGTAATAGTGTTTTTTAAAATGAGTTTGAAAGCACTGCCTGTATAGATTAATACAAAACTGAAGCATTGTAAAGAGCTATAATTAGGGGCTGCAGGTAGCAGTGCGGTAAGAAAATTATTTTAAATTAAACTTTGCTCTAAGGAGAATCACAACATTTCCATAAGAAGAAAATGTAATCAGGAGTGGAAGTGCTTTACTTGCTAACACTTTTGTAGAAGAATTTGGAAATCACTGAAACTGGCTGTCTTGATTTATAAAAATAAAGTATAAATAAATATCTTTATCCATAAATAAAGATAAGCCACAATGAGATGGATTTTTTTTTTAATTTGCATTTGCTAGAAATGCCCAGAACTAAAAACTGGTGGATTATTCAGTGAGCATCAAACTTTGTCAAGTGAGAGGATGAATTCCTTCTGCTTTTTTTCCTCTAAAGCTAACTGATGGGGCTCACAGATCCGACAGGAAAAACATCAAGCCAGCTTTGAAGTTTGTTCGCTGCTTCCCCATCAGCTGGGAATGAGCGGCAGCCTGTAGCCACACTTCAAAGCAATTCCTCATGTCCTACTTTTACCCACAAATCCATCAAGGAGTGAATGGAACTATTTTCTTTGGAAGAAAAGGGAATGACTAATAAACTGATAACTAACACTTGTGTTCTCCTTTTCCTCTCTTTCTAATTCATAAGATATTCAGCAGTGCACTGGTCAGCCTCTATGGTTGCACAGCTTGAGCGTGTTAAATAATTGGATGCTAAGCTGACGCCTGCCAGCTGCACTCGGGAAGAAGTTAGAAGACACAGATGTTTGCTATTGACCTCACACTGTTTCAGGTGGAGTTATTTATATGAGTCATCAAAAAAAATTAAGTGCAGTTTATGGTAAAAGAAACGGGTGTTGACTAGAGCAAATAATGTAGTAAAAGTAGTTGCAGATGTATAAGTATGATTTTTAAAATATAAGAAGAGAATATGGTACAAAGCCAAATAATTGTTAAACAATTATTTAACTGCTATAATTACTCTTCTGAAGGATTTGGGGTTTCTATTCTATTCAGGAGAGATAGGTACAGAAAACACAATGGGAACAAGGTATGTGGCTTGCCTGCACCAGAGTGCAGCACAGGTGAGGACTGAGGGCCAGAGCTTCTCTTAGCCTGTTTCCCACTTGAGCGTCTAATAAAGCTAGAGCTGAACTTATTTCACATACCACCATAAAACAATAAAATTCACCTTTTGTCCCTCTTCAGCATTTTGAAAGTCCACCTGGGCTGGATGAGTCTTGAGTGACTTCAAAGGAGAGGAATTAAGCTGAGCGCTAAGGGGGAAACCCTCTAACTTAGTAGCTCACTGGGAAACAGCATCTTCCTGCTGCCCTTGCCTACTCACCCAAAATAGGAGGAGCTTTTACCAGAGAAGTCTGTACTGATGTATTTGCTACGTTTATGCTATTAATAAGGTGAAAAACCCAAACCATTCCAAGTGGGAAGGTGAAAGAGCAGAGGATAGGAGACTTGCAGACCAGACTGACTAGTATTTCAGTTCCAAATTTGATGCCTAAGGGTTGATCACTTTTATTTTGGGCGATTCTAGCTCCAGACTCTATTCTTTCCCAATTGTTTCTCTATTGAAATGAAAGAGTGACTTCGATCCAGGGACTTGGGAGTGGGGTGGAGGTCGGGGGGAGAGGGGCCTAGGCACCACACTCTCAGTACTTAGAGTTTATTTCTTGCTATGAGCTCAGGAATCTCCCCCTGGTGGGGATCGGTGGACCATGTGCGGTGCTGGGAATCAAACCTGAGTTTTCTGTATTCAAGGCAAGCACCCTACCTTCTTTACTATCTCCCCAGCCTCCAACCCAAGAATTTTTATTAAAAATCATTTGACAGATTTCAAACTAAACTGAAAATGCTTTTAGCCCCTGAAATCTGAAAGTATTTAGAACAAGTAAAAGTATGGTTATTATATTTATGTTTTACAAAGATAGTGTAGGTATCTCAAGCCCTACATAGCAAGGCTTCAAAATTAGATTAATTCAAATCTGGAAATTTATTTCTATAATAGTTTTTTTCTTTGTTGGTTTTTGAGTTATACCAGGCAGTACCCGGGCTACTCTGACCTTGCAGTGCCCAAAGGACCATGTGGTTCCAGGAATCAAATCAAGCCCCCTGCATGAGAAGTATGTGCCGTGGTCATGGGCACTGTCCCGCTGGCCCCCTGATAAAATTCTTATACTAGTAATTGAACTGATAATTCACTTGTAACAATTTGCATGTTCTCAGAAAGTTTTTACTGTGTTTTGTTTTTTGGATTTGGGTCATAGCCCTGCTGAGCTCAGGGCTTACTCCTGGCTTTGTGCTCATGGTTTGGGGGGCCATATGCTGTGCGGAGTCCAGGTCAGCAAAATGTAAGGCAAGCATTTTAATCCACTGTACTATCTCCCTGGTCCCTCTTCCTTTTTTTCTTTCTCCTTTCCTTTCCTTTCCTTTCCTTTCCTTTCCTTTCCTTTCCTTCCTTTATTCCTTTTTTTTAATTGAATCACTATGAGATAGACCTTTACAAAGCTGTTCATGATTGGATTTCAGTCATACGGTATTCCAACACCCATCCCTCCACAAGTGTATGTATGTTTCCCACTACCAGCCCAGTGTCCCCAGTTTCCTCCCATTATCCCCCCTCATCCACCTCTTGCCTGCCTCTGTGGCAGGCATTTTGCTTCTCTCTCTCTCTCTCTCTCTCTCTCTCTCTCTCTCTCTCTCTCTCTCTCTCTCTCTCTCTCTCTCTCTCCCCCCCTTTCGGGAATTGTGGTTTGCAATATTGATACTGAAAGGTTATCATGCATATCCCTTACCTACTTTTTTTTGTGTAGGAGTACTGCTATTTATTCAGCCACTTATTAGGCTGATTGAATTGTGCATGAACTCTACCTTACCTACTTTTAACACTCAGTTCTTGTCTAGCATGATCATGATCATTGCCAGCTATTATTGTCATAATAGTCTCTTCTCTATCTTACCTACCCTCAGCCCCACACATATTTGTGATTAGATCCAACCATTGACCAGTCCTCCTACCTCCTAACCCCTGTTTTCCCTGGTCATGGTCTTCTAAGATATATATATATATATGTATATATATATTTATTTATAATAGTGAGTGCAGTCATTCTATATCTGTCCTTCTGACTCATTTCACTCAGCATGACACTCTCCATTTATAGGCAAATTTCATGACTTTGTTTTTCCTAACAACCGTGTAGTATTTCATCATGTAGATGTGCCATAGTTTCATTATCTATTTTGCTGTTCTTAGGCACTCAGGTTGATTCTGGCTGTGGTGAATAGTGTTGCAATGTGCATAGAAAAGTAGATGGTGTTTCTGCTGTGTGTTGTTGGGCCCCCAGAGTATATTCCCAGAAATGGTATTGCTGTGCCAAATAGGAGCTCAATTTCTAGTATTTTGAGAAACGTCCATATTGTTTTCCAAAAAGGCAGAGGTCCCTGTTTTTTAGATTTATTTTAATTTAAGTTTTCAGATTATGTTTCTGATAATGGAAAAGTAATTGTCAACCTATCTCACAGATAGAGATTATGAATTCAGAACAAAACATTAAAAATAACTAATTTTTCTTGCGTTTTCCCTTGCCCTATTATGCATAGGTTTCCTTTTTAAAAGTGTACTTAAAAAACCTGTGAAAAGTTTTACTGTGAACATAGCCATAAAGCAGACAATCCAGAAGGAAGGTGATGCTTTCACAAAAGGGGCCGGGAGCAGACAAAGAGGTCTTTACAGATTTATCTTTACATTTTTTCCCCCTCAGAGTCCTCCACTTGAAAGTGGCTGGAACCAAGCACATTTGCTGCAGTGCTCTGGGCTCTCAGAGTGGGCCAGAGCTCAGGACTTAGACCCAAAAGTGCCCGAGTCAGGTCAGGTTGACCTGTGTTCCGCTGGCCCAGAAAGCTTCGGCTCTCG